GCTCCCCCTTTGGGTCTGGTTAGGGTTAGGGCTTCCTCTGCTGCCCCCTGGAGGTTGGGCTCCCCCTTTGGGTCTGGTTAGGGTTAGGGCTTCCTCTGCTGCCCCCTGGAGGTTGGGCTCCCCCTTTGGGTCTGGTTCCTCCCAAGGTTTCTTCCTTCTAGGGAGTTTTTCCTTGCCACTGTTACCTCTGGCTTGCTCACTGGGGGCTTTGGGGAGGATAATGTAAAGTGATTTGAGACAATATAATGTGAAAATGAGCTATACAAATAAAATTAACTTAAAATTGAATTGAATGGAAGTTTGCGGTTTGGCTCCTTAGAATATTCATCAGCAACAGAGGACTTAGTGGTCAGATGTGTTGGCAGGCAGTTAGCAGGTCTGTGACGGAGGACCTAAAAAAGCCTTCAAAAGTACAGTTTCACCTAGCATGAAGATCCGGACTGTTCAGAATACAGTGTCTTCTGTGACTCTGTATGGACGGGAAAGCTGGACAAGAAGGGAGATAGGAAGAACTTTTGAACGGAAACAGAATCAAATCAAGCCTGAACTTTCACTTCAGGCACAAAAGACAAAAATGAAGCTGTCAGTACGTGGAAATGAAGGGAGAAGAGAAAGAAAATGACAGGCAGCAAAACCTGGACGGAGCGATGACAATGCAGGTGGCTTGGGGACGTCTGACTGTCTGGACAGAGGACACTAACCCTAACCTAACCCTAACCCTGGCACTGTCACCACATAATGAACAAACAAACGGTTAAAAGCAACGTTCAGAATCAGCGAAACATTTCAGGCTCTCGGCTAAAATAGTGGTGCATTCATTCTGTTGTGTATAATAATCGGACTTACTGTCAGAGGACAAGCAAACAGCTACTGCTAAGTAGATTATAAATGTCTCTGTTTAGCCGAATTAGGCCTGATGTCCAGTATAATTTAATAACGAACTTAATCACACAAGAGTGCTGTAAAGAAAGTTAGGCCTAAAATCCATCCATCTTCCAACCAGTCATCCTGGATGAGGTCATGAGGGGGCCTGGAGCCTATCCCTGAAATGACAGGGCACCAGACATGGTTACACTCTGACAGAATGGCGCACACACACACACACACACACACACACACACACACACACACACACACACACACACA